AGATCCAGAGATCATTTCCCCTGCTTCTTTTCTTTGGTTCTTCTGGATTCCCACTTTAAGAATTATTATCATGTAGTTTAATCCAAGCACAATTTAAAAAGCTATTAAGACTTAAGGCATACAACTTTCACAGTCCAGTGACAAGGAGTTATTGAGTAAAAATGAGTACTATGCCTATAACAGATTTTTCTTAAAACATTTCTGACATTTAAAAACCAGTGGCAGTGTCACTAAAAATAACACTGACACGAGAAGTATTCCAAGAGCTGTCATCTTAAGATTCCTTTAATTTGATGAGAAATATTTGGTCCCCTGTTGTCGGAAGAGAGGACTGTATATAGTACCTGCTGTGTACATAGCTCACCTCTCTGATATCCTTAGAAACGACCATGCTGCTACTCATCCAACTGCTCCAGAGCCTCAGGTAATGGGATAGAGGATTATGGAAACAGCAAATTCAGAAGCACAATAAAATCAGTAATAGGTTTTGCATTAATTGATGTTTGTATTCACATTTATTTTTGTGTGGAGAGTTTTGGTAGCCTTTTCCAGATTCTAAAAGGGGTGTATGAACAAACTAATTCTTTTTTTCTTTTTTCACTCAATTTTGGCTGAAACCCTTTCTTAGAAAGCCTTCATCTACTTTAATCTCTTTTTTTGGAGCCACTAAATTTAGTTATGGTTGCTTGCATGAATATCGGTAGGGGGTTATTTACTGGAACACAGACAACTTATCAGTGGCTACACCATTGAAGAAAAGGCCACCTCTTCCCCTAGTATCCATTAACTGCCCATAGTCCTTCTGTGAAAGCTAGTTTATTTTGTTATTTTTTTGAGACAGGTTCTCATGTTACCCAGGCTGACCTTGAATTTACTATATAGATAAGGATGACCTTGAACTTTTGATCCTCCCACTTCTACCTCCCAAGTGCAAGGATTACAGTTGTGCATTACCAGCCTATGGTTTAAAATGACCTTAAATGGAGGTGAGGAGAAAGCTCTATTGCTAAAGTGCTTGCCACATAAGCATGAGGATCTGAGTTTAATCCCCAGAACTAACATAAAAAACCAGGCATTGTGGTGCATGCTTGTAATTCTAGCACTTGGTAAGTCCCAGTTCAGTGAAAGATGGCAAGATGTCTCAAAAAGCAGGGGGACTGTTCCTGATACCTGAGGTTGACTTCTAGTTTCCACATGCACATGCTTTATGTGTACATACATACACATAAAAATACACACACAACACACAATCACACTAACCTCAAATTATTTCTCATTCTCTCATTCTCCTTATTCTCCTTTTCTTTCTTGTCAACAGTTTTCACAAATGATGACTCTTGGTAGTTAGAATTATTGTGAAAAAGTAGATTAAATACATGAGATCACATTCAAGAGTCCATATAATAAATACATTTTAAAAAACGGTCAACAAAGATTGTAATGTCTTTGCAAACAGATGAATTCAAAATTGTTTTTGATTATTCTGGATGAACTGAGATTGTCCAAAAATCTTAGGTGAATAAAAAGTAGAAATTTTCATAAGATTATGATGAATATTAAAAATAACATTCTGGGTCTGGAGAGATGGCTCAGTGGTTAAGAACACTGGTTGTTCTTACAGAAGACCCGGGTTTGAATCCCAGCACCCACATGGCAGCTAATAACTGTCCGTAATTCCAGTTCCAGGGGATCCGATGGCCTCTTCTGACCTCCTTGGACATTGCACGACATGGGTGCACTTACCTACATGCAGGCAATACACGCATACACATACAATAAAAATAATAAATAAAATATAAAAAAATAACATTCTGATGTTATGGGCATGTGTCATCATATATGGATGCAGTATTCTGAGGTGGGAGAATCCCTTATGCTCAGGAGTTGGAGACCAGCCTGGACAGCACTGTGAGACCCTAAGACTCCATCTGAAAAACATAAAAGCATGAACAAAGTAAATAGGAGGTACAGGTGGTTCTGTTAAGATAATCAGACTGAAGCAGTGGTAAAATGATACAGTGATTGCAAATTTGAAGGTCTCTGTATGACTCAACAGGATAAACATTGAAGAGGTAAATAACATGTTAAAGAAAATTATAAATTTTAAAATATTTATCATTGTGTGTGTGTGTGTGTGTGTGTGTGTGTACCTGCTTATGACAAATAAAATATTTAAAAATAATGTTCTGGTGCATGTGGAAGTCAGATGACAACCTGAGAGAGTTGGTCTTCTCTGTCCAATTTATATTGTCAGTCTTGGTGGCAAGTTCCTTTACAAATAAAGACATCTTGCCAACCCAGAATTGTAAAGAATCTTTGAGGCAAAATCTTCCCATGTAGCTCAGACTGGCAATGAAGTGATGATCTGCCTACCTGCCTCAGCGTCCTGACTGCTGGAATTACAGGCTTGAGCTATCACACCCAGAAAAAACTGTAATCAAATAATCTACCCACCACCCTGCCCCACTTCTCTGTGCTGGAGATTGAATTTGGGGCCTCTTGCATACTAGGCATGCACTCTACTGCAGAGCTGTATGCCCAGGCCTTTAAAACCTTAAAAAACCCAAAAAGCAAAAAAAAACCCAAAATGTGAGATGTCTCCCCTAGGTTATACAGGCTGGCTTTGTACTTACTTTCTAGCTCAGCCAGGTCTTGCATTTGTCATCCTCTTGTTTATGTTGAGTAAGTGGGATTATAGTCTTGAGCCACCATGGCTGGCCTGCCTTAAAATGACAATTTTTTTTATCTTGAAAAAACCCCATATAGCTAGACAATAGGTTTCAAATTTAGAGAAAATGATAATCAAGTGGAGAGGGGGTAAAAAATGTTAATACTCTGTTTTCATCTTGGTTTATCTGCCTGGTTTTTCCCCTTGATAGTTTTAGAAAATCTTGCAGGACAACTAACTCCCAGAACCCTATAGCCTTGCCACATGCAGATTTGTGGTCCAGAAGCAAATTCACGTTTGCATTTATTAAGTCTCCTTGAACCACATTATTCTAATAAGTGTTTTCTAATTGTTTAGTGTGATTTATGCATGTTATGAATTTGGATTGGTAAGCGTAAATTAATAACAATTTTGATTAATTTGTCACTTACCTACATCTTATGATACTATAACAGCAAAACTTTTGCTTTCCTTGTACAGTGAGTTATGTTTTATATTCATTGAGATTCTTACATGCTTCAGCTAGATTTATTTTTGAGTTTGCCAATATTGTGAGGATCTCGGGCTAAGACTGTACTAAGTTGTAAAATTGACTTGAGTATTTCAGTTAAGGTTTATGAGGCAATTTCCTTTCAAAACTGGAAACATTCAAATATTGTTCTCAGAAAAGTTTGCTTCAGATGTACTTTTTTCTATCCAAATTTCTGGATCCTGTAGAGTTGATAGGCTAAACACTGCAACATGCTACTGTGCGGGATGAATATTTTAATATTCAAAGAGAAACTGACTAGTTTTTCAATGTCACTGCATATGGTGAGAAAATTAGATTTGAAAATTCTGTTGCTTAAAATATGAAGAAAATTCACGCCAATATGTTTGTGTCCCTGTATAAAGCATTTATATGTTTAATAGCTTTATTTTTATCTTTAAAGTTCCCTTTTGAATGTCTATACCTTAAATTTCCTTGGTAACAACCTTAACTCAGTAAGATTCTTGTATAAAGGCTTCTTTTATACCTTTTTTTATCCATAAAGAAATTAGTTATCCATTGTTTATAGTATGATGTTTCTTCATTGTGATACAAATTAGAGCTGTTTGTAGCTGATGCACTGGAATATATAAAATGGTATTTTTAGCAACGATATTTAAGGTCTTTAACTAGAACCAAGTATGTGCTTTTTTAAAGGCTTAATTGAAATAAAAGACTTTTGGTTTTGTGCCGAGTCTGACTTGTACAGGTTGGGGCTCTCCCAAATCCTTCAATTTCTCTATTATTATTTAGTCAGACACTCACCAAATTTCAGCCTGCAGTGCTATCCATTTCAATGATTTCTGCCTTCTTGATTGGCTAATTAGAGAGGAGAAGGATTTCCATTCTTTCTGTAAAGGACTCTGTGCACAAATAATGCATCTATCAAAGGAAATCTTTTTCATGTGTGATTATGTGTTTGTGAGTGTGGAAGGCAGAGGTTAATGTCACGTCTTCCCCAATCACTTTCTATATTATTATTATTGGAAAAAGGGTCTCTTATTGAACCTGTAGCTCACTGACTCATGTGGGATGGGTACTCAGCAAGCCCCAGGGAGCCTTCTGTCTGTGCTTCCCCCGCACTGGGATTATAGACATCTACCACCACACTTGACTTTACATGGGTGCTGGGGAACTGAACTCAGGTCCTCATCATGCTTGTCGGCAACCAGTTTACCAACTGAGCCATCTTCCCAGCCCTGAAGGAAAACTTCTGGGGTGCTTACTGAACTATTTATATTTTATATTTATATTTTCAACTATTTTTCTGAGTGTATAATGTATGGTTTAGGAGCAAGTAGGCTACCAGCTCCCCCCATCCCCAGGACTACTGTATTCTTTCTTTGAGTGATACACTTTTGAAGAAAAATGAACAGTTTTCAGTTTAAGAGCATGTTTAGAAACATAAAACAAAGTTTCTTCTTTCTCTTTTTTACTTATCCTAATGGCAAAGTTAAAAAAAAAAAAGGGTGTGAGACTGAGCAGAGGCAGATCATTAAGAGACATTAGCCTGGTCAGTGTTCTATCCAGAAGCCATTACTGTTAATTTTTCAGTTTTTATTCATGTGAGGACATAAGAGAAAAACACTGAATGCGTGGGAGTGGGTGTTGACAAGATGACATGTTCCAGAGGCACCTACATACCACACCACACATACCAACTGTCCTGGGGATTGAGGAAAATTCACCATTCCTCTGGGAAATGAGATGTGCAGAACCTGCCATTGGAGAGGCCTCAAGTTCTAGACTTTGTCAACATTGTTTCACAAAACCATAATATTGAAAAGATACAACAAACATGTGTACATAATTTTAATGAAAGACATAGGAAGATAAAGCTGACCAGAATTTGTCAGTATTTCTGCAGCAAGACACATGGTTTGAAGAATACTATATACAGTCACTTTAAGCAGATTGATGGAAAAAGGAATTTGTAGCAAATTGGCAACTTGAACTTAACTGCTGAGGTCCCCAGTGCCTTTAGCTTTCTGGCTCTCCAATACATTTCCTATATTATCAAGACCCAGTCCCAGTTTTCCTGCTGTGCTCCTTTGCTGATTTAGCCAGCAGGGTGAAAGCAATTATTCTTTGAATGCATCTTATTGTTCTTTTCCTTTAACCATTCCCTACTAAAAATCTATTTCCTGACATATTGAACTCATTGTATGTTTTAACTCATTCTGCTGATGGCTGTATACTAGGCTGCTCCAAAGAACACATTTAATGGTTTTGAGCACTGTTCAGAACACAGCCTTAGCCCTTTTGGAGAAAAGAACAAGTCAAGTGTTGCATGCTACTAAGAGCCACCCATTCATTATTCTATTACATAATACCCACATGCAAAAGGCTACAATAGACTATGGTACATGGCAGCTATGTTAAAGAAATGCAGATGTACCATACACTGTCAACCATTGCCTACTGATTGGATATACCTCATGAATTTTCTGAAAACAAGGGACTTTCAAAGGGATCTGATGATCTTGTTAGATGTCCTCTGTGCTACTCCACAGAACGTCTTTCAGTCCAACCTCAGTGCCTTAGCCACTCTGACAGCAAATATTTTAGAATGCATAAATGAAACATTCTTCATTTGCTGTGATTTTCAGCATTTTTTAGAGAACAGAGAATTATTCCTTTAAAATAGTTGTTCTGATAATCTGCAGCCTGCTGTGGAAGAAGTGTGTGTGTGTGTGTGTGTGTGTGTGTGTGTGTGTGTGTGTGTGTCTGTGTTCATGTCTAAGTACATGTGCACACATGTAGATATGTGATCAGACTGGAAGGGGATAAACTATGAATGACTGTTACAGTTCTATTAATTGGGGCCACCTTAACTTTCAAGTTCACAATTCAATAGTGTATATTTAATATTTTTAAAACAGACCTGATAGAATTGTGCTTAAAGTAAATATCCATTAACCTAAATGCATACACTTTGTGTAATTTGGCATAAACTTGGAAAAGCACATTCTTTTATCTGGAATAACAAGCCCTAAAATTGGGCTCTATAGGTACCACAGGAGATTGTGGCACTGGCTGATGCCATCTAGTGTGAAATATATATGTCATACAGGGCTCATGAGGGAAAGAGGCACATACTGCATTAGAAAATAAAGAGCTGTATAAACTGCATACATCACGATTTTGGAGAAAGCAGACAGGACTCTTGATCCTGTTCTCTTTGTTCTCAGTGTTCTAAGCTGCTCCATGGTAATTCCTGTACTAGGAAGCCAAGCCACTTTAACAGTCGGCTGGACAGTATAAACTGTGAGCATATCTATGTGCTTTTCAGGGGCACTTTATCACTTTTATTCTTAATTTCAGGACAAATAATTTCATTCTGTCTCGTTCTAAGGACATTATTGGAAGAAATAGAGCAACATCAACAGAGTACTCTAGGCTTTTCAAGAAAAAAAAAAGCAGCAACAACAGCATGGAAGAAAAGAATGAATCCTATTAATTTGCTCAGAAATACTGTAATGGTTAACCTTTTCATTCCAGTCCTACAAATAAAAACAAGTAAGAGCACTAGGGAGTTACATAGCACCTTTCAGCTATAGGACCTTAATAATGAGTTATCTTCATTTTGCAACAGGGGAAGAAGAGTACCAAAAACTGGTCAGGGCATGCTGATGATGAAACAAGCCACTCTGTTTTCTTAATCAATAATAATCTACAGTAGTAGGTATAGAAATTATCTATGGATAGGGATATTATCAATGTCTGTAAACTAGTGGGATCAAGATATTAAAGCAAGAATAGCGTTTCCCTCCGCCCCTCCCCCCCAAGCACCCAGAGAAAACCCTGATTTATTTAGTCTTTTGGAGACAGTATAGGTCTTTAAGACACTACACAATCAGTTTGCATTACCTGAGCTTTCCCCTCCCAGTGCTTCATTGTTGTTTAATAACACTGTCTTTTGTGACATGAGTTCTGTGAAGACTGAACGATAATACACTCTGTGCATTAGAGAATTTCCTGGTGCCTTTCCAATTTTGAATCATGGATAGCAGCTTCTGTACCTATACTCTTGGCAGAAGATAAAAGATGGGGGCAGGGGAGATTTCTTTGATGCGCTCCGGCTGTGGAATAGGTGCTGCTGCCCCTCCCTGCTTTAGAGGAAAGTACATATTCTTAGGACTAGAAAGCAAGACTTGTGGACCATAAAACCACGTGGATGGCCAAATATACTTTCAAGAAAAATCTAGACAAGTGCTTTAGAAGGATCATGGAGGGGAAAGTTCTTCCCATGTGAATACATACGATTTCATCATGAAGCCAGTGTGCACAGTCTTCAAGGCTGCTCCTTACTTTAGCTTCAGAAGCAGTTCCTAGCCCCAATAGATTTATTCATGTCTAATATTTTCTCAAATGAAATGCTGACCACAATCTGTTCACTTGATGCTAAATGTCTCACCTTGTCTAAAATTACCTAGGAGTTCCCAATGGACAGATTTGGCTGTTGTTTTAAGTTGCTGGATCACTTTCCCTCTTAGTTGCACTGGAGCCCCAATACGGATTTGTTTGTGCCAGGCAACTCTTTTTTATATTCGGAGGCATTTTAGAGAGGATAATTTAGTAAACCCAACCATGTCTTAAGAGTTCAATTCCTTGATATCTGTGAGATGCCTCTAACTCCCACTGATCTCTGTTAAGAGTTCCGGCTTTTATTGTCAGCAGCTGGGCATTAGAGTGCTGGTTGGAAAATGAAAAACATCAATACTCTTAGGTATTATTATAAAGAAGCAGCATTAGTGTCCATACTTATCGATCCAGGCACTAGGGCTGAAAGAAAGGCTGGTTATAAATAAACGGGGAAATGGATGTAAACTATCCTAATGGCTGAGCTGCCACTGAAGCTTAAAAAAGAGGACTGGAATATTACTGTTCACTTAACTCTGGACAGTAACCCCTGGTGTGAAAACACAAACCTTCGGGTAAATCCCCAGGCTAATGTCAGATGTGAAACTTTACCTTCTTGTACAGTATTTTAATTATACCTGAAAATCGCCCTTAAATCCCTTTACAAAACTGATGGTCCATAACTTAGGCTTATAGTATTTCTTCCATTATAAAAGTAATTTATAAAGGCTAAAATAAAACTATATAGCAGAGAAATGAATAAAATAGAGAATTTTACCATAACCTTGCATTAAAGGTCTTTAAAACATTATTTCCCCCTCCTTTTTTGTTTATTTTGTCAAGATAGGGTCTCACTATGTAACCCTGGCTCTGCCTCCCAAGTGCTGGGATGACAGGCATGCACCATCATGACTGGTCTTAAAACACTGTTAGGCTTACTAAAGTCAAAGTCTGTTTTGATTTGGTCTTTCTTACAAGCTTTCAGGAACTTCTGTGATAGGACAGTTTTGGACCATTGTTCAAGTCTCAACTTTAGGACCTTGGTATTTATAAACTCCAGATACACGATATAGGGATGGTTCGAAGCTTATCAAATATTTAAATTCCTACTTAGAGAAAAGCATGATTAAATACAAGCCTCAGTTTTTAAAACTTGATTTTTGGCAAAATTCTGTATCGATATACTGCACATACACATGTATATAAATGTCCATGAACATAAGCAGCAAATGTGTGCTGACTCCCCTCAACACCGAAAAAACCTTGTAGAGAGACATGACTAATGGTCTTTCATCAGGGAATCAAAGACTCCAGCACAGTCTTCTGAATTCCCTCTTAGCTCACGTGATGAATCTAAAAACATTTAGGCTTTCATGGACTAGGGTAGGTAAGAAAGAAAAGCTGGCTTGAAGTAATTGTTTTCAGATTGAATTCAGTCAGAAAAGTAAATAATATGTAAAGTCCTGAAATATCGGCACAGTAAGTATTTGACCGAACACTTCCAAACTGTGAAGCTTTCAATCCAACATGGTGACTTATTTTGAGGATTAGAATGGTTCCCAGCATTGAAGTCTGTAAGCCTTGTGGGAGATGGTGGTTCCTGGGAATGAAAAGAAAAAAAAAATCACAGGTGAGCTGAACAATGGTAAATGATCACAAGGTGACATGTATTTGATAATAATATGCAATTGTTAAAGATTATTTTATGAAAATATGCTTTTTTAAAGAAAGATGGCTCAACAGGTAAAGGCACTTGCCACCAAGCCGGATACCCTGTTTGATCCTTGGGATTCACGTGGTGGACGGAGAGAACAAATTCCTGCAAATTGTCCTCTGTCCTCAACCTGTGCACTGTGGCATATATGTGTCCACACATACACACACACAAACAGACAGACATAAAGACACAATAAATAGGTATAAAACATAAAAAACCAATACATCTCATTATAGAATACTTTGAAAATATAGAAATGGCTTATCCTGGTTTCCTTTCTGTTGCTTTGATAAAACATCCTGACCAAAATTGAGATATGGGGAAGAAAGGATTTATTTTAGCTTACAATTCCAGGTTATAGTTCATCACTAAAAGGAAGTTAAGGCAGGAACTCAAGCAACTAGTCACATTACATCCACAGTTAAGACCAGAGAGAAATGAATGCACTCATGTTACCTGCTTGCTTGTTGCTTGCATCGCATGCTCAGAAGTTTTCTCTACTCTTAATGCAGTCTAGGGTCCAGCCCATGAAATGGTATAGTCTTCAATGCCCTGGGTCTTCATATGTTATTAACAATCAAGAAAATCCCTCCCCCCACATGCACACAGGTCAACCTGATCTAGGTAATTCCTCATTAAAGCTCTCTTTCCAGGTACTTCTAGGTCTTGTCAGGTCACCAGCTAAAACTAGCCAGCACATGGCTGGCTTTCTACTTACCCTCATTGTCATTCATTCAGCCAAGAAGTATATATTGATTGCTTACCACCTGTCAGGCACTGTGCTAAGGGCTGGTTACAAAATGTTAGCAAGACTTAAACCACTGCCCTTAAGGAACTTGAAATTCAGTGTGGGAGACAGACAAGTAAATAGAGCATTACAATACACAGTCAAAGTCTCTTCTAAAAATATTATGGTGGCCAGATAAACTGATTTGTTTTTACTCTTGAGGTCATTTGAGGATGTATGTCCTTAAACACCCAAAAGGGAAGTATAACCAAAGATTAAAGGGGCCAATATAATTTCATAAGAGCATACATATATATAGCTAAAAGTTACTTGACAAACAGCAAAGCCAGACAGGCGATACCTTTAGTCGAGTTGTCGGCCAGGATGGATAAAGGCTCTTCCAGATAGTAACCCAACACACTACTGGAAAAATGAACAGCAGACCCCAATTCTATCCAAAGGAATGCTGACAATGGATTGCCGTAGATGAGGAACAGCTGATCCTCCTGGAACAGGGACCTCTGGCTGACTAGATTTACCAGAAGGGCAGAT